AAAAAATACTAGACAGCGCATCTAGTTTCTAACTAAATACTGTTCAATAAAGATGATGTTTTTTTTCCACTATGATATATTAATTCTGATGAACTGTACAGTGTGTAACGTCTACTCAGTACACTTTCCATTCCAGTTTTTTTTGCTTACAACACAGTACTGTACAATGATTTTGAATGAAAACTTGAAAGTATGTTTACGATGTGTGTATGTTATCAAAAGGTAATAAAATTTTTCAGCAGAAGTGTTATCATCACATATTATACAAAAATTGCCTGGTACCTGTCTTCTTATGATGTTTGCTCTTCAAAAAACGCTATCTTTTTTCAAAAAAAAAAAAACCTTTCACATTGCAACTGTTTCTTTAAAAAGCGGCATTAAAAAATTTTCAAAAAAACCTATCAAAACGAAAGTGAAATACAAGATACGACTATTTTAGATCTTCAATTTTATCCAGCAAAGTATGAAAAACTTTTTTATCGTAAAATTTTGCTAAAACAAAATTAAACCAAATTAGATGTTTTGTGTTAACACTATTTGATTTAATTTGACAAATTAGATGGTGCACTTGCCATGAAAAAAAAACATATTACGAGTAAATCAGTCTGACGGTTAAGACAACCAGTAGACAGCCAAATAAAAACTTCAGATGGTTAATCATTTACCATCACCAAAAACTTGTATCGTTTTTTTTTTCTCGTTTAGTTATTGTAGTTAACCAGTCGTTTAGAGCTGTCTTTAAACAGCTATAAACTTTGCTGGACTGTATTCTGACTAGACGAAAACTGATTCATCTGCTATTTGCTAGTTTAATAGTAGGTCAACTTGATTAGAAATGAAAAATTTTTTAAATTTTTATTTTTCACTCAAAGAATATATTGAGTATAATCTAAACTTTATTCAAAACTTTGTTTTTGAAGATTTATGTACAACAAACAACAATTATTACTATACTGTAATTGACATTTACCTCTGTCGTCATTCAGAACACATAACAAACGACGCCTTACTGGTTTTATGCTTTACTTCATTATTTATTTGAGAAGTTTTCTAGGTTTTTAAACCATCTGTTTTCTAATCTAATTTTAAAAAATATTCTTTTTTTTTTTGTCTAGATAAATATGAAAGTGTTTGTAGAAAGCCACTTTATTTATTCTTTAAAATCACCTGCGTACTTTATTTTACTACTGTCTTCTACTCTAAGTGTATATGTGCATGTAAAGCAGTAAAAATGACTTTTGAGAACAACGTTCTTCTATACTAAATTATTCATTACATGACGCCTGAAAAATTGTTTTCTTAAATCATTATTTCGTATTTTTAATATTTTTATAGACAATGACGACAGTCGATATTTACACGAATCAACCCAACAGACTGATAAAAAAAATATTCTAAGTAACTTTCAATAAAACTTCAGCTGGTAACTTTAACAGCATTTTTTATACCGAATACTCAAAAATTTTTTCAGATTTGCCAACTGTTGTTTCATATACGGTCAACCATTCGTGGTGGTTTATAGTATCCGTTTCTAAATCGCTCAAAAATGCGGCAACATCTAGGTCGATTTCGATACGGTGCGAAGACACCTCCTTTACGGAGCGACAACTGAAAAGATATAGTTTTTCACCAGTATTTTACATATTTTATTTTTCCTTCTATTACTTTGAAACTTTTGCAGTTTGAATTTATTTTTATACTGGAAGTGTGTGATATGAATTTTTTAAACAGAATTGTTAGAAAACGTACAGGTCTTCGACATAATTTCCAGCTGCAAGTGCGTCGGAACTTTTGAATTTTATCATGCAAACTGGAGTCTTCTACGCTCAGATTTACCAGTAGCAACAGTGCTAACAGAATTGGTATAAAGTATCTCATAGTTGGCGTCGTCTAAACGAAGTGATAAGTGGTAAAATAAAAAGTTATTTATCAATGGTTTTTCAAGATAGCCCAGAGTTCAATTCTAATTAGATATTCCACTTTTTCAGATGTTTGCTAGCACGCTCGGTCTTATCAAGTTTATTTGAAATAAAGAAAATTTTAATAATTCTCTAAAAATAACAGAATTTATTTATACTTTATACAACAATATTCAACATATCTTTTTTCTACAACAGTAGTGAAGCGGACCACTTAGGCAACAGTTCAATAAATGAAAAATCCGCAGCAATAGAATACAGTGAAATACATGAATAAAATGACAAAGAATGAACGAACTATTGAAATAGCATTACTCGTTTTAGTGCATCGCCTACTTATTAAGAACCAATCCTTTCTGTAAGCAAACCACTGATAACGACAGTAAACAAATGATGATCATAACTGTTGTTATTGTTATCTTAGACCACAGACTGACTCAAGCTGCAAAATGGTCTCTAAACAAATTAAATATTTTTGTCAGAAAATGGAACTTGGAACCTGTACCAATATTTCATAATCTGACGTTAGTTTGTTAATAAATGAGGTATACAATATTACTCGAAATTTTGTAATGCTGTATTTTGTTAGTGTCAAAGTAAAAAAGTTTACTCTTATCGTGTTTATTCTTAGTTTTGCAGATGCTTTCTGTATTACATGACTCTTACACTACAATAAATTTCTCTTTATGTGTCAGCCAAAACTCTTCATTTTTGATGCTTCATAGTTAATGATTCATAAGTTGGTTAAAACGTCACGAATCAAATCAGAAACTGTTAAAATCAACAATAAGCAAAAGTGCTTAGGTTTTCAAGCAAATAATAACACAATGCTTGTTACGTATAAATAATAGGTTTGTTACCTCAGATTTTCAGCGTTACTCTAGAACTTGTAATCAGAAAAAACTTTGAAATATTCACTATTTTTTATATATTTATTTTTTACGACTTTTGAATTCTTTTGATTTTCTTACAGTGCTACGTCAGCTTTAAAAAAAAAACTTACCAACTTGTAATTACAGTTGGTGAACATTTTTCCTTGTAAAAATCTGTAGAACGTTAACATTGTTTTAAGAGAAAGTAGGTTTCTTCACTCTTGCAGCTTCTGACGTGTCTAATGACCACTAAATAATCAGTGTTACTTTCTGAACTTGCATTTACAAATTTTTCAAAGGTTTGCACAAGTATACTTTGGCAACCCGTAACACTGAAATTACCCAAACGACGTTTGGCATTATAATTTTTTTCAATGACTTCAGTTCTCAATTGTTGCGTTATTGCAGATGACACTATTAGAAACTCTCTCTCCTTTGCTATCAGCTTAGAAGTTTAGTTGTCAGCATTTTTTCCTTCCTCTACTTTGATTTGAAAAAATTACTTTAGAAAGTGCCAAGAGCAAATGAGGTTAAAGTGATCAAACTCAAAAAAATTTTGATTTATTCGTTGTATATAAATTTATGGCAAAGCCGTGTTTTGAAATGCATCGAGAACAAAACAACAAACAGAGAACTTAGTGTAATAAATTATAGAACATATCAAAGACAGGATAAAACAAAATATTATTCTAGAAAAAATTGTTTTTTATAACTTCTGATAAATTTCTTTCTTTTTTATTTTTGAAAATAAAGTTCTCATATGTGTTACAAACACAGCATTCCACAGCTTTGTCAATATGCATCCATGCACTTTTTCCACTTGTGAAAAACCCTCGAAAAAAATTTTTTTAGCTAAATTTAGAGTAAATTATTTCTTTTTGAGTTTAATTCTGTTTTCTGCTGACAGATATCGACTCGAAGAAAAATTTAAAAAGTCTCTTTTATAAGATTGCAATTGATATTTCAGCAAATTTTTGGAACCTTTTTTAATTGTTGTAGTCAAGAACAGCATTACACCTAAACAATAACAAAATACTATTTTAATAAATGATAATTGTACAGATCTTCAAAAATATTCTAAGTCATTTTCAGCATGATCAAAGACAGCATTTGACTGAAAAAAAAACACTTTCAATTCAAACTAATCTTAACAAAGAGAAAAAAACAAAACTTCAATTTAGATGTGGTATTATTGATATTACTGTTTAAAATTATCACAAGCAATAATCGCACACTTTTATAAATATAATATTTAATAAAAAAAAGATTTTGTTGATTATCTGATCATAAAAAAGACCACGATACGTTATAAACACTTGTGGTACCACCAGAAAGATGGTACCTTTTAAACAGTGAATTCAAAAAAACGTCTTTTCACCGTCATTAATTCCTCATTGAAATTCTTCTGCTTTAATAGATTTAATGGACTTATGCTATCTGACTGTTTTGGAGAACACTTTGAAAAAACCGCTTTAAAACCGCTGCTTATCTAGGCAAGCAACTATTTAAAAAACTTATGTGACGTCACCAACAAAGCATCACTAAAAACAAGTAATAAAAAGATTCCACTCTTGTTACTTCATTCTATTACAAACTATACATTGTCTGTAGCTTACCGAACACTGAAACGACATGAAAATTTTTAGTGAGTCAACAAAAGAAGAATCAAACGCAGCTACTGCACTACTTTTTTTGACACAATTGAAAATTGATTCAGAAAGTGGTCGAATTCAGGAGTCTTTAATGGTGTATCTGTCAGCCATTCAATATGTTGACAAAAATTGCTGAATCTTAATCTTATGAATAAGCTGTAGGCAAAACTACATTAAAATGTCATAGATTTTTTATTTTTATTGCAAACAAACTGTAAAAAATATGCTTAAAAAGTGACAGAAAAGTGTAATATGGCTAAAATGACAGGCTAATGAGACTATAACCTTTATTCTAAACAATTGGTACAGTAGTAAAACTTGAAAGAACACTATTTTATTTTCTTAAAAATAAAATTACTGTATTCTTCTCAAGTTTTTTGTTTAGAGAAGCCTCAAAAATCTACCTCACAAAGTAATCTAAATTTTTACCGCTTTTTTATATTCTGGTCTGCTCTGATCAGCTCATTTTTAAACTTTTTGTCGCTGCACCATTTGTGCGATTTTGATTCTATCATTCAGATGATCACTTCTATTATATTTTAAAACAAAATCTAAAAAAAAAAAGTTGTATGAAAACTACATAAACTGTTAAATTAGATTCCTGCAACTGTTTAAAAACGAACCTTTCATGCAGTTGTTATCACTTGTTTTTCTACTGTCTTTGGTCAGTAAATATTCTGGCTTTTGTTCTGAAAAACAGAACAACTGAAATGGTTTATTAAGCACCAACGCATTGCAGAAATGTCATAAACAAATCATTGTACAAATGAGACTTATTGCTTCTCTACATTTAAGTAAAAGAAAAAAATCAACAAAAAATTTAGGAATCGATTAGAAAGCCTTAGAGGTG